TTAGGTTCTGATAACGAATATCGCTGGTATAGGGCAGATATAGCACTGGCCCCAGGACACTTCCTTGTGAAACTCCAGCTTTAATTCCTCTTAGTTCTGAATATGCTTCCTCGTATTTAACTCGAAAGTATCTGTCGGATATATATGATTTTAGTAATTCAGAATATTGTTTTGGTAAGCAGCATCTCATTTTATGATATAATCCGTCATACCACACCTTGTCAAAAGCCTGCACTACATCGAGGGAAATTGCGGAACAGACTTTTCCTTTTTCTAGAGCTTTTTCTACTATATCTGTTATTCTATGCAACTGATCTAGTGTTGAGTGGCTTGCTCTAAACCCAAACTGATGATTAGGAATTAGATATTTTCCTCTATAATGGGTTTTAGTCTCATCAAGAGTAATTTTTAGTAAAATTTAGACATGACAGGTAACAGTGAAATAGGACTATATAAATATATAATCCTATTATACTATATTTCTGCCACCTTCAACATCTTTGGTACGTACCTCAGTAACTAGTCCCACAGTAATTAGATCAAATCCAGGAGCTTTATTTGGATTTATATTTTCTTTTATTTCCAAATATACGTCTTTTGGAGGTATAAGGCTAATTTTCATTTCATCTTGATCAGGGAGCTCCCAATAATTATTTCTTGTTCTTCATTTGGTTGAAAAGTATTTTCTAGGTGGTCAGCAAACTTATTGGCCTTTTGTATATTGCTTATTGCCCAGCTACCATTAGTATTTCTAATTGGTGGATTTTGTAAGATTGGCCTTGTTAATCGTTTAGTAGCCTTCCACAATGAGTAATCAGTAGCGCTATCATTTGATAGTTCACTTATGTAGATGCTAACCGATTCGTTTTTAATTTTTTGAATTTCTCTTTTTAATTTTTGTGTGGCAGCATTTAATCTAGTTTTATCAACTGTTGCTTTAGACTGATGCCACTTACGTCTCAGTTTTCTTTTTTCAGTTATCCTTTCTCTGATTTCTTTCGGGTAGTTGTTTCCTTTTTTTCTTTCGACATTGTTCGTGCTGTTGTTTCAAGCAGCTTGTTGTACATTTTTATTGAGTAATTCTACTTCTGCCTCTAGTTGATCAACGGTTCTTAATGGAACTGAGAGATTAATTTTCTTTTCAAGGTCTATCTGGAAACTTTTCCAGTCAGTATTTTTGTTAACAAGTCCAGGGGGCTTTCTTCTTTGATGACAGTGTCACTGAGTGTGAGAATAATTGGAGTATATATAAGTTTGAGATGAGTCTTATATCCTTACCATCGAGTCCTGATGTTTTTAGGATATTGATTAGTTTCATATATGGGACTTTATCAAATGCCTTCTTGAAATCAATGAAACATGCATATGCATAGCAGTGGACATCTTTGGCTCCCTGTATTAGAACTTGCAAACTAAAAAGTGCTTTCCTCGTTCCGAGTCCTGCTCTGAATCCAAATTGAACTTCATTCAGGCGTTCTTCTAATTTGGTGTATATGAGTGAGTGAATGATAGTAAGAAGTTCTTTAAGTACATGGCTCATCAAAATAATTAATCTGTGTTCTTTACATTTTCTAGCGTTTTTTTTTTTGTAGGGAGTGGAATGAATATTGATAGTAGCCAGTCTTTTGGTAAGTTTCCAGTGTCATAGATGTTGTTGAATAGTTTCGTAAGAGCCATGATTGGGCGTGCCTCTAATATCTTTAAAATTTTAAGATGCACCTCATCAGGTCCTGGTGATATTCTGCTCAATGGCCATAGTTACTTCTTTGTTTGTTATTTCTCGGCCGTAGGGATTGTCTATTTCAGTCGGACGTCGTGCTGCATCTCGAATAATTCTGGCATATATTCTTTCCATCTTCGTAATTTATCTTTAATGGTAGTCAAAATCCGGCCTTTAATGTCTACAACTATACCTGTTTTGCATTGTTTTCTTGTATTCTGTATCTTTTTAGTTTTTTTGTGCATATGGAAATCATCATGTTTGCGTTGTAGTGTTTCAACTTCCGTACATTTCGCCGTCAGCCATGCTTCTTTTGCTCCTTTTATCTCCTTGAGTATAGTCTTATGCAACTTTTCGTATTCGTTGTCATTTCTACCTTTTAATTTTCTTCGCTCTTCCATCTGCAATATTTTATCTGTCATCCATTCTTGCTTATTTTCTCTTTTTGATTTTAGATATTCATGTGCAATTGTTGTAATAGATGTCTTCATTTCATTCCACTGTTCTTCTATGACTCTAGTAGTGTTTTCAACTATAAGTTTATATAAGATCTCGTATTTAAATGACGTCATTTAAATACGAGGTCTTATATTAGCTTCAAATATTTACTATTCAATTTTACCTTGTCCTAGATGTAATAAACATAAAAGGGTAATTTCATATATCTAAGCTAATATAACATAAAATACACTTTTAGACCACCTTCCATACGACAAAGAGTAACATAGGTTGCCTATTGCACATGTCATTTTCTTAAACATGACCTTTAACACCATCGGTAATTTCACATCTTTTATATCCTAAATTAATAAATAAAAAGTTTTTAAATCCCAACACCTGGATTGCTGTTATTATTTTTCAACATCATCAAAATTTTTGAATCTTTTGGCTGTAGTAATACTATGTATAACTAATATAGTTTCATGTTACATTGACATTTGGTTTTCGACACCGTTCATAGGTATCTTGTCAATCAGTTACCAGCTGTAGCCCGTTTGAAGAGGTTTACTCTCCGGACAATGGAACTCACTTCAACCATGGGTGTATGTCACCTGAAGTTAAATTTAATGTAATATTTAACATTACAGATTTATAACAACATTATGTACAATCTTTTACAACTGCATGTAATTTAAAGGGTTTTTACCCTGATATTTTGGTGGCTCAGGCATGTTAACCTTGTAAATATAACCAATTTTGCTTTTTAACCCTAGTCAAAATTTTAAACCACGTTTGTTTCAACTAAATGGTTTATACTTATTTTAGGCAATTTTAAACCTGCTGATGGAATGTTTAATTCCGAATACGTTTGTTTTTTGATGTAGCCCTTTTAAGGGTTTTTTAAATGTACCCATTTACGAAGATTAATCTTTTTTTTATTTCTTAAATAGTATTTGCTGCTTTGCCTGTTTGGTACAGGCTTCGAATATTCCACGTACTGATCCATTTAAATTTTGTGACAATATTGGCTGACCGGGGGATTCTTAACTATCATAATCTCTTCATAGATTTCCGACAAGCATACGACAGCATTAAAAGGGATCAGATGTGGAATGCAGTGGCAGAACTTTCAGTTCCAAAAAAACTTATCCAGCTCGTTAAAGTTTGTGTAAATGGCTGTAGATCTAGAGTGCGGATAGGTAACAAGCTCTCAGAGTCGTTTGAAATAAACAGTGGACTAAAACAAGGAGACGCGCTGTCACCTCTTCTTTTTAATATAATCCTGGAAAAAGTAGTAAGAACCGCACAAATTAGAACACAACTACTGACAGTAAATGGACCAAAATTACTACTAGCATACGCGGATGACATTGATATTGTAGGAAATACCGTCATTAATGTAAAAGAAACCCTCAATAAATTAAAGAGAGAGGCAAAAAATACCGGTCTAAGGGTCAATGAAGAGAAAACCAAATATATGTGCATTAACAGACAAAAGAGACGAGATAGAATAGGACAAAATGTAACAATAGACCCCTATAACTTTGAAAGAGTGAAGAGTTTTAAATATCTCGGAGCGACTATCGTCACATATAACGATATCACGGAAGAGATAAAAGGGAGAATTCAGGCAGCAAACAGATGTATGTATAGCCTCTACAACACTATTAGATCCAAGAGCCTAACACGAACATCAAAAATCAGGATATATAAAACAGTAATTAGACCGGTGCTCATGTATGGGTGTGAGACGTGGACGCTGACAAAAGCAATGGAAAGTAAACTCAGATGCTTTGAGAGAAAAATCCTCAGAAAGATCTTCGGTCCCTATCACGATCCGAATACTAACCAATACCAAATGAGAACAAATGCCGAGGTCAAACAAATGTATAGTGCTAGCGACGTAGTCCAAGAAATTAAATCCCAACGTCTAAGATGGGCTGGCCATGTTCATAGGCTCCCTAATAACCGCCTTACCAAGTTAATCTGGGAAAAAGTCCCGACAGGGAGAAGGCCCTTAGGACGTCCACGAATGCGATGGAGAGATAATATATGGTCAGATTTGAGAACAATGGGGCTACCCACTGACTTAAACATCATGGACGACCGTTCGAGATGAAAGCAGGTTGTATAGTCAGCCAAGACCCACCCCGGATTGTAGTGCTACCAGAAGAAGGGGGATTCTTAGCACCCTCTCCCAACTCAAAAGGTGCCCGGGACTGAGGGCCGTTTGTTTTTAATTTTCAGCCATTGTGGTGTCCTGGGGATATCCTTACGGATCTTTAATGTGGTAGTCATCCCGCGGCTTTCCACATATCAATGCCGTTGGCTAATTTAGCTTTTCCACCTTTGGAGTAAATTTCTTAGCTCCAGGGCAATGAAATGCCTACCACATGGCAGATCTTCCACCCGTAGCTGTTGACCAACAAATGGGAGATTACTTTTACCGGTAATCGTTCGGTCACTTCGCAGTATCACAACCGGTTAAATCATAATTACCACCTTTGATTATACAGAATCAGACTGGTAAGGAGATTTTTCTCTACCGCTCAGATCCTCTACCTCTGATATATCTGCTGCGCTATACCAGGCTCCCAGTTGATCCGCGGGTGTTTATTTGGCAAAACCTTATTCACATAAGTCCCACATATCTGTAGGGCGTTCCTTATCAGCCATTGGGACGAGCCGTGGTGAGGTTGAAAACTACCCTCCTCCGAGTGTGTTTTCTAAGAAGTACTGAAGAGTCCCTACTGAATTTAGAACCCCATCTGCTTGGAAACTACACCGACACAGGTGTAATTACTTTTAAAAGGTTTAAATAAATAAAGTAGAATACTACTTGCTTTTCATTTTTTTTAATAAATCCAAATGTGACAACTTTTTCTTTAACATAGTTTAATACATACAATAAAAATATGTATACAAAAAACACACAGCTAACCTTTATTAATAAATAACATTTTCTAAATTCAATCAAAAGATATAGACAAACTAATGAAAAATGAATTCCGCTCATCATAAAGATTTCAAGACTTTTTAGTATTTTAGCCTATATGAAATATATTATGATTTGATACGTTCAAATCCCACATTAATACCTTTTTTTGGTACTAGATTAAATATACTTTTGTCCAACTTAATCGGTATATCAGTTTCCGCAACAGGAACTATTTTAAAATACTTCAAAATATAGAAAAACAAAATTTTCGTTTCGAGGAGCGCAAATCTTAAGCCGATACAATTTCTAGGCCCCAAACCAAATGGCATATAAGAATAAGGTTTGATATTGCCTTTGTTTTCTTCATTGAACCTCTCAGGATCGAAAGTTTCAGGATCTGGAAACAGCTCAGGATCGTGATGGATTGCGTAGATGACTAGATGTATGACGTCGCCAGGTATCAGTTGAACTGGCTTTTCTTCAGGTAAAACGGGTTTTATAGTATATGGTTTAGAGCAGCATCTCTCCAATGTTGGCATAGCTGGCCATTTTCTTAAAGTCTCTAAAAACATATATTATATCAAGATGACTAGAAAACGTTTAGCAATGCTAGTAAATTGTTAAATATTTTTTCCTTCGATTGTGTGTTGAAGGTAACCTAACTGATTTGAACTCTCCACGAATATTAAAATTTATAGTTGGTTTAAATATATACTATAAATTTATTTATAAATATGTATTTTGATGATGAAGCATGGCTTAGGCAAGGAAAATGGACGAGGTAAACGGCTTCTTCAAGTAAAGACAATGTTTAAACATCATCCACGGAGATTATCAACATGGTCTTCGTCTGAAGGACATTACAAAACTAGATTATGTTTTTATTACTAAACTATGGAGGAGCTCAATAACCAACGTGAAGACAAAACCAGCTGCAGACTATTGTTTCGACCACAAAATGTTACGCATTAAGTTACACAGTAAAACAATCACGAATTAAAGACAAAAATAAATTGCAATATACCCGGAAAAGTTTGGAGACGTATTTGCAGAAGCTGACCTACCAGTGACTACCGGAGACCCTGACAAAACATGGGAATACACAAATAAACGGATCACGGATGCCATCAACAATACTAATTAAAAAGACAAAACAGCTAAACAAAAACATGGGATGACTGAAGAGACTCTCAATCTTGTAAACAAACAGCGCATCAAATTCAAAACAAAAAGAAATACAGATACGCATCATAAATAAAAAACCTCAAACAGTGAAAAGGAAAATTTAAAATTATAATATCTATATGGTAATTGGAGAGTATAAAGAAGAATATTTTGCCCATTTCTAAATGCTGTTAAGAAGAAAAATATTTAAATTGTTGGAAGCTGATAATTAACACAATTTGATATATTTGGAAAAAGTAATTTGACAAAAACAAGGATAACCGAGGCTGACAAGAAGCGTTGATTGAATAATTTAATCAACACAAGAAGATATTGGGTGGTCATTGAGCCTTTATATTGGAAAACAGTTTCATTTAGGCATTCAGTGATAGAAAGGTACCAGATTTTGTTAATATAATTTAATTATTGTAAGAATTTTAAGTTTAAGATAGGTTGTTTCAAATTTATATTGTTTATATTAGATATGTATATATATATATATATATATATATATATATATATATATATATATATAGATAGATATATGTATATATACATGTGTGTGTGTTTCATAATAGGTATAATAAAGATAATATAAAAAGTACTTACAAACTAAGAATTTCAAGTTTAAAATAGGTTGTTTCAAATTTATATTGTCTATATTATATATATATATATATATATATATATATATATTATATATATATATATATATAGATATATGTATATATATATATATATATATATATATATATATATATATATATATAGATATATGTATATATACATGTGTGTGTGTTTCATAATAGGTATAATAGAGATAATATAAAAAGTACTTACAAACTAATTCTTTGAGAACCGCTATAAAAACTCTATACTTATATATTTTATTTTAAATTATTCATTGCTCACACACAAACAAAACATCATCACATCAAGGCACATCAAGACGAAGCAGAACTAATCTGACTTGACATTGGCAAGTGTGACCTTGCCGAAACGTCGCCAAAACAATGGTTTTTCTAAAAACGAGAACAACTTAACGCGAAGTCAAACCCGGAAAACAACTGAAATCACATATAGCTCCCGCAGAAAATTCACATTCAATATATATATATATATATATAGATAATCATAAATACAACTATAAAACACTTGTGCAGAAGAGATAAAAATAATTATATTAAAAACATATATGTACAACTAGAGGAACATGCTGACCACCAAGAATCTAGAGAACTTTTCTTAAAAGTCAAGTATCTAGCGACAGAATTTAAATCGCAGACACAGATCATCAAAGATAATAGTGGAAATACCATAACAAACCCAGACGGTATCGCAGAGGTGTGGAAACACTATTGTGAAATACTATTCTTTAACAACGACCCAGACAATAATACAGAGAAAGAAAGTTATAAAAAAGAACCTCAAATATGTATATCAGAAGTTGATGACGCAATTAAAAAGCTAAAATTCAAAAAATCAGAAGGAAAAGATCGAATAACAGCTGAAACACTCAAAGAAGTGGGAAAATTAGGGACGAAAGTAATGCTTAGAATTTGCAATGAGATCTGGAATACCGGAAAGTTACCAAATTACTGGAGTAAACTTCAGCAAAAAAATATTTACCTGACACAACCATATCCATGTACTTCATGTTTACAAGAGATTCATAGGTTAATTTTCCATTACAGTTTTCCAAAGTTTCTTTAATTTCTTCTCTAAGCCTGTCTTGGATATCTAGATTGACACATAATTCATATCCCAAGAAGGTCATTAAATTAGAACTGGAATCGAAACCAGCAAAGAAGAACACAAGAGCTTGAGCAACGATGTCTTCGTTGGTGATGTCAGTTCTTATTTCAGCTAGAAATAATAATTAGTGTTAAAAAGTTTTAAACTTTAGGATACATACAGTTCTTGATGCGTCCAATTTTAAGATAGTTATTCTAAGATTGGAACTATGTTACGTGACGTTTTGGTCTCCAGATTGAAGGCCCTTAAACAAGAATCTAATGGCCAAGAAAGGTCAAATAAAATACTTTCAATTTTCAATCTTACGAATATAGCTAGTCCATAGTATATAATATTTCGCCTTCTGTTCATATTTCGGTTTTTGAGATAATATGATATGCTGAAACTTCTATCAATTTATTCTAATAGATCACTTGTTTAATGTAAACAAACAGCTAAATAATATGCAAACTATCAAGAATAGATCGCAAGAATCAGACGCTGTTACTACAAATTAAAAGACTAATCTAAAGAAGAGATATAGCGATTTAGGAAGAAAGAGAATTCAATTCGAACTTACATTTTAGATGTTCTTCAACAATAGCATATCCAGTATCAGCTGTAGTTGTACTTTCCTCAACTTTTGGGCTACCTTTTCGTGTATCCAACATTAACTGAATCATATCGGGCCTTACTAATCCTTTTTCTTCTCTCATTTTAATAGAATCTTCAATAATGTTGGTAAAGAAGTCACCTATTTCTTCTTTAACAAGTCTTATATTAAGAAGCTAAAAATAAAATATATATTATATATATATATATTATATATATATATATATATTATATATATATATATATATATATAAAAGGATCACTCAACAGAGTGGTGGACTCTTATATCGGTCAATTTGTAGGTGGAGAAATGAAAGACAAAGTTGATGTGCCACTCTATCTATTTTGAAGACGTTTCGCTTTCGTATTCTGAAAGCATCATCAGTTCATTCTAAAAAGTATAATATAAGAACCACACAATCATGGAAAAGATGTTACAGGTGTTACCTTAAAAAGACATGTAGCAGTCAAAGATGTTAACAAGCTTATGAATTAAACTTGAATAAATGGACATTATAAAGTAAAAATGTATAAACATTTAATTTACTAACAACATTTAGTGACTTATTAAAAAATTAGCACAGTAAGTGACCATGTGGTCCGAAGTATAAAAAATATATTAAATTATAACTTAAATGATGCAAAGAACTAAGAAAATCAACGATTAACTTCCAACTATTGATAATTATTAAGCTTTAATTTTAACTTTTGGTAGCATTATTAAAAGATGTTAATATAACATCTTTTAATAATGCGGACAATTTTCGCGGTTCTGTGTCAGTCTGTTCAATCTAACGCCATTTTCCTGGTAGCAGGTGCAAGGCTTAGACCAGTAACTTCATTCATTTACACTAATTTTTTTTAAATTATATTAACATCTTTTAATAAAGCTACCAAAAATTAAAATTAAAGCTTAATAATTATCAATAGTTGGAAGTTAATCGTTGATTTTCTTAGTTCTTTGCATCATTTAAGTTATAATTTAATATATTTTTTATACTTCGGACCACACGGTCACTTACTGTGCTAATTTTTTAATAAGTCACTAAATGTTGTTAGTAAATTAAATGTTTATACATTTCTACTTTATAATGTCCATTTATTCAAGTTTAATTCATAAGCTTGTTAACATCTTTGACTGCTACATGTCTTTTTAAGGTAACACCTGTAACATCTTTTCCATGATTGTGTGGTTCTTATATTATACTTTTTAGAATGAACTATGATGCTATCAGAATACGAAAGCGAAACGTCTTCAAAATAGATAGAGTGGCACATCAACTTTGTCTTTCATTTCTCCACCTACAAATTGACCGATATAAGAGCCCACCACTCTGTTGAGTGATCCTTTTATATATTGGAATTTGACGGTCGTACTCCTTTTTCCGATATATATATATATATATATATATATTATATATATATATATATATATATATATATATATATATATATATATAGATATATTATATATATATATATTATATATATATATATATATATATATGTATATATATATATATATATATATATATTAATATATATATATATATATTATATATATATACTTCTAGCGGTTAATATGGGCTCCGTACTAAAACGGTATTATACTAACTCCAGGAGAATATACGCCGTGTATATTATTATCTGAGTAGCGCTTTATGTAGACTCCGACCAATACGTCGGATCAAGTGGACTCCGTAATAGGATCAAACATTTTTGGGATCCGTATATAACTTTTCCCGTACACTTCTTAACTCCTGCGATGTTGCCAATAATTGTATTAGTAGTAGATTTTTAAATTTTATAGGTGGTACATTTTGGAACCTATTAATATTGAACATCGAGTAGCGTAATCGTCTAACAGTTTAAGAAACTCTTCTGTAAGATCTTTATAATTTTTCAATTACTGCAGTTTATGGCGTGTAATATTTATTTCATGAAGTAGTTAAAATTAGACTATAATAATTTATAAATTAATCTTTAATATTATAATTTTTTGCTGTCTAATTTCAATATGTTGATTTTTAATTAACAAAATATTTGATGCATTAAAGTCGCGTAGCTATTTTCACCAAACATTCAATTTTAAAGCTATTAGTATAAAAGTCTAAAAAAAAGTATAAAAATCTAAGGAATTTAATATGGATACACACGTCAGTGTGCTTTTCTCAAGTCTCAAGTTTCTCGAATCCATCAATCATTCATTGTATTTCTTATACTTTCATTTTAATCCTCTCCAATCAAGATTTTAAAGCAGGTTTGCTCCATTAGTCCATTTTTATTACTTTTTGTCACTATTTCTCCTTTTTCATTATCATCATCATTACGTGGCGCTACAACACTGGGTGGGTCTTCGCTAACTACAAATTTTCTCCAAGTTGATCGATTTTCCACGAATCTGTAATCAAATGAAATGTTAATATTTTGAGATATAATTGGATGTTTTCTCTCCATTGCTTACTGAGACGCCTAAGCGGCATTCTTTCTTCTGTGCTAACTTCCTTCCATACCAGTTTTACAAGTTTGATATATTGGCGTCTATGCATGTGTCCGATCTACCTTAAGCGAATTATTTTTCTGAACAATATCGTTATAAAAGCTTTCTTTATTCAGTATGGGTTCTTATTCTATACGGATTTGTAGCGATATGATAATGAGGTTAAAACATTTTTCTAATTATTTTTATTTCAAATATTCGTACTTCTTCCTTATTTTTTTTAGTCAATGTCAATTATTCGCATCCATGTATTAAAATAGGTCTAAAATTTGAATTATGCTAAAAGTATTTAGTTATTGACATTATTATTAACAGTGATTATTTATCTAAGATATTTAAAGTGTTCCATATTTTTGAAATTGGTGTTGTTAACTTTAATATTTTATCTAGATTTATTAAATTGGTCTTTTTTGTTGAGTCGCTTGTATTTGGTTTTCATTTCGTTGATTTTTCGTGCTCTCTTTACTTTATTGAAGATGTTTGCGGACGGGAGAGTTTCTTATGAGATCTATGTCATTAGCATATGCTAGGAGTGCTTTGTACCTTGGGCCTTTAATGAATTTAATCTTAAATAGGCGATATTTCCACTTTAGTAAGCTGTTTATTAATTTTTTGACTATTTGAATCGACAATCTGTATTTTATTCGACTGTTATATCACAGAGTTTCTTGGCGCATATTTTCATTCTTGGTTTTTTGTTTCCCGTATCATTATTACAAAGATTTTTCTGGAGACCGACATAGGGAACCCGGTGGTATGTACATGATGTTTTCATAACCAACATCGAAAATTTGTCTTACTGTAAAGTCATAATGATTTTACTAGGAAATATAGTGTTGTTTAATAATAATAAAGTTCAAGCAACAATTCCTATATGCAATACCTTGGTATGATATTTCTGCTCCCCGATACCAAGTAGCAGTCCCGAAAACATTAAAACTGCTACACTCATGTTTCCTATTATCCAAAAATTAGCCAGTCCAGGACTATACTGCCCTCATAAGTGAATAAAATATGTACGGAGGTTTTTGGCAATTTAATAGGATTTTGTGTGTTAGAATATTATTTCTCCGAGAAAGTAAACAATATTTATTTGCTATCCGAATATAATCCATAAATTAAATATTAGAATGCTATAAAATATTGCTACTAGCAGCAAAAACGGTATAATAGTCACTAATGAGAAAATCAAATAAATGTTTTTTAACATACAAAAGAAAGGATGTAGAGTAAGGCATAACGTAACAATAAAGCTATATAATTTTGAAAGATTGCAGCGTTTTAGATATCGTAGATAACGTTGTCACATAAGAAATAAAAGGGAAAATTCAGGTAGCTAACTGATGTATATAGAACCCTTATAACACTTTTAAATCCAGAAGCCTAATATAAATCTCTAAAATCAGGATATATAAAACAGTGAACCAGTGCTAATGTGTGGATATGTAACGAGAACGTATTAATTAGATCAGGATTGCTAGAAAAGCCATCAGAGGTATTTCCCGACTTACAAAGGTCCGAGTACTAACCAATACCGAACGAAACTAATGCCAAGGTCAAACACATATATAAAGATAGCAACGAGGTACAAGAACCTAAATCTCAACTCCAAAGTTGCGCTGGCTTTATCCAAAGGCTCTCTCATTAACTGCATTCCCAAGTTAAATTGGTAGGATGCCCCGAGAGAAAAAATGCCCTTAGGATGTCCACGGATGAAGGGCGCAGATTTAGGAATAATGAGACTACTTACCGACTCATCATATTTATCAACACCTGCTATCCTACCTACAATCAATACATATCTGTTGAGGACTATCAAATCAATTACATGTAATCAAACGAACTAGGCTTAAAAAAAGTATCCTAGGAAAGGCACTTCGGCAATATTGACATATATTTTTAAAACGCCATTTATGTCGCTGAGTTTGCAATAGGAATGAGGAGACAAAAAGGAAGAAATGGTAATAAAATCTTGTTGCGTTCCGACTATACGATGACGATGATCTCTATATAACATATAGGAAGAAATGGAGAATAATGTCTATGTTCAATTTAGAACTCGTTGGTTTTCTCCCTTTCGAATTGGGTATGTATATGTATTACCATAGAAAAAATAAAAAAAAAACTATAATTATGAAACTCTATCTAAAATAGTAAAATCGATAAACAAATTATATAAACAAGAAGATTATGTAAATCCCTAATATTTAAACAGACTGCTTTACAAAAGGTGAACGAATAAGCATAAATAAATTGTCAACAAAATAAATCAGAAGAATATGACACAGTATATTGCTTAAAAAGAATTCTTATGTGACTATGCTAAAATATGATACGATCGGAAAAACGGCAATGACTTTTACAGCTGATTGCCACATAAATATTAATGTAACGCAAATATGATGATATTGCCTCGTACTTTTATATAGCAATTTGTTGTCACATTGCTGAAAGTTACTTGATGGAAATTCATTGTATCTAAGAATAAAACAAGTATGCGTTTACACGTTATAGATTGTAACTGAATAAGTTGAGGAGGGGAAAACTGTTTGTCCCAAGTTGGTATTCAGAATTATGTCTGTATTTTGTAATTTGCCAATTTCCATAGGTTTAAATTTTCATGGATATTACTAGACTCGAGAGCAGTGTATGATTCCTTAGTTATGTTTTTAAAGG